ACAAAGGAAGGCAAACAGAGAGAGAGACTTACACGAATTTCACCGTGCGGTTCCAATTGTAAATCATCCGGAAGCTGCTGTGAGACGTGATCACTGGCACACTCGAAATGCAATTTCCATCCTGTCACATCCACGGCCTGAAGCACAAAAAAAAGCCGGTGAAGCGATGAAGCATCAGCGGACGACCGTTTGTGATTGGGAAATTTCAAGCGGCATTATGGGTATTTCCTCAATTTAAGGGACGGAGAGGTGGGAGGGAGGCATAGCCTGAGAAACCGTACTCGTACAATTGAGAAACAGCACTGCTGGAAAAAAAACGAACCAACGGTAACTATGAGATTAAACAAGTGGAAATTATGCTCCTATGATGATGGCAATTCAGTCTAGCCAGAGTGAATAAAGTCAGTGTTTATGTCGATACGTATCAACCACCCCACCCCCCCTGTCACCCTCCCCGCGCGCTGTGCGCTCAAAAACACTCAGACTCTTTGGTCGAACCCGTGAAAGATGACCAGTTCTCATGCATTCGAAAGTGATCATTGGCTCATTGTGAAATTCTCATTTGAAGTGGGGAAAAGTAAGACCTAAATGTGTGTGTGTGTGTGTACGCATGGACCATCTTATTATACCGCGAAATCCACTCTGTGGTAGATGCCATTTATCGAACTGCATGCGTCTGATAAGGAAACACCGTTCTCCTCACTAATGCGACGTCAAAATATATTTTTCAACACCAATTCAAATGTGATAACGAAAAGGGGGGACGAGCGCGCTGAGGACTCACGGCGCGGTCAAGAAAACCAGGCCCAAGGCGTTACTGTGTGAAACCACCTCAGGTCGAATAAGATAGTGTTCATGTGAGTCTACAACCATCACACAAACGAATTAACTCATGTGAAAAACCCATGCATGTCTTGGTTGCCGAAAAACCTTCAGTCCCAACAACCAATTGCAATTCGTTGTGTACATGGGACTTAAGCTGAAAAGCTAATAGATATTATATAGGTTAGCACGCTTTGTTCGAAAAACTGTTGGAAGCTCTAAGCAAAACGAACTGTGCTTAGATTTTGCTTGTGGGTGAGCGGCGGTCATCATATAGTGAAATCCAATTCTCCATTCCTCCGATACAACAATTAGTCAGGTTGTGAAAGGCTCTAACTGAGTCACAACCCTGGAGGCTAGTGCTGATATGAGCGGTGTCCGTTGTCCGTGACAAGCTAGCAAAGGTGAGTTATGCTATATCGTGTAACGGTCCAAGAAGCTGCACGTGACCCAGTGGATGGGATACTTGCGATCTATCTGTGAGGTCCCAGGTTCGATTCCCAATTGGGTAAATGGACTCGCTTACTGCTTCTGAGATACAGGTCGAAACAGTTGCCCATGGCTTCTCAGCTTTTCAGCTCACAACTCATTTACACGACAAATTTATCATCTAACCAAATCAAACCCTCTGCTCCTCTCGAAGTCCGATTCAATCATCAGAGCACGATTGGAAGCAACTGTGACAAATTATTGGAGCAAGTTCAGTGTGCGGTTTCATATCATCCCCCGGTCCACCCGTTCAAACAAACGTTTCGTTATGCCTTGAGCGAAAACAAAACGCATGGTCACAAACAAACATTAGAAACGCAACAGACCGACTTAGTTCCTCTCGCTATGTCAAGGGAGATATTTTAAAAAACGCTTGGATAAACCCATTTACCTCATTGCTTGCATTGCACAGACTAAGAATCCCCTCGCCGGACTCTACACTCTGAAAGTGAATGTCACCGGTCGCGGTACAAGTGACACGAATCGACTGGGTAGTGGTTTGTCCTTTCGACTGCTCCCGGAACCAATTGGTGCCTTTGTCGTTTAGTGGTTCGATTTCACAAACGGCTCGAACCTACGGTGAAAAAGTGTAAAGAGTCACGACAGGCCCTTGGATATCAGGACCGCAAATTGAATTTGGAGCGGAATACCGGACAAAATCGCAAACAAGGAGGATATTAGTTATAACAGCATAAACAAACAAAATACACAATGAACTCAAAAATAGGCAACAACTGTGATCTAATGTACATAACGTTCATGCCTTAGAGAATATCCCTGAATAAACAGTCTAACTTGGAGCACCGGGGTGTTGGCGCAAACTAGGGCTTCAAGTGAGATAGTAGAATTTTAGTTGACTCAAGCGTAAATTATCATACATTCCTGATTTTCTTTAGCCTTGAACATTTTCTTTCAAAAAAGGTTAAAATCTACGAGCTTGCAGTGATGGGCATTCGAAATTTTTATTACATTCTTACATGAAACTGAGTACAGCTAAACTGATGCAAAGGTGATGTAAAAATTGGTTCGTACCATTCACCTATTCTAAATTTTATCTCTCTCTCTCTCTTTGGGGTAAATTGCAGTGACGACGACGGAGCGATCAATAAGGCGTGAACGCGTCTGCGTCGGTTGCCGAGTGAACACCACGAACTGCTGTCGTGACGACGCGATTCTAGCCAGCCAGCGTGGGCAGACAGCCCGACAGACCGAACGACCCCAAAAACGGACATCGGTAGATCACATGACAGACAGAAAGCTTCGTTGAAACTGGGACGGCCAGGTGAAAACGGCAATGACGCGGATTGGGCTAAGTGCACGAGTGAGACCTAAACAAAGTCTAATCGGTCCTTGGAGTGACGTGTTGCAGTGATGCTGCACGAAATCCGCAGACAGGTTATCTAAACAGAATGGGAATTATAACCAACATGGGAAAAGACTGTTTACGTAACCTAAACCGGAACCACGGGGAGCGGTATCCGCAATCGGTCTACGGACAAAGTTCGAGGACAGGTGTGTTGACCATCGTCATTCAGGCCGAAAAAATAATGAGTAAAATGAAGAGAAACATTCGTCCAAAAGTGTACACGATTGCACATCAAATGGGATTTGACGCTGTGTCGCTGCCATACGAGAGGCACATACTTTAATAATGAATGCACGTCTAAGTCGGTTAATTAGTCCGGTGGTCAGAATGGATGCGAGAATGAGGAAATACTGAGGAAAACAATGCACTGCTAGAGACGGAATGCGCATCAACGTTGCACAGAGATTGTGGAAAGCAACATCAAGTAGCATTATTTTGCAATCGTAAATTAGAATGTATTTTTCCGTAAAAAAGAACTAAGATAAACGTTTAGGCAAAAACGCGATTGCGTGACTTGCACATTAGCCACAAACTAAGAAACGAAAAGACATGAAAGCCGTCGACGGGAAACAGCTATCAGTACATTAAGAGAGCTCACAAATAGGCACGAATACG